TTTGTTTTGTCATTAAAATTTTATTCATAAGTATGTACAAAACTTCTCTAGTTGTTTTCCCACCATGTTTTAGCATTTCTACAGTCACCCCGTCTTTTCCTGGCGATTTATTGTTCTTCATCTCTTTGAGTGCTCTTCTTATCTCGTTCTTACTGATCTCTGGTTGTAAGTCGGAATTAACATTTTTTATTTTTATTTGTAGTTGCTTAAGGATTTCTTGGGTTGGTTTCTGTTTTGTATTGTAGAGGTTTTTATAATATTCTTGTGTTATCTGTATAATTTCTTCTACATTATTGGTCTCTGTACCTTCTTTGTTCTTTATACTATTAATTTGTATGGTTCCAAGCTGTGGTTTTAAGCACTTCATGTTTTTATTTTGTTCAATTGCTTTTTCTATTTTTTCTTCCTGTACTCTCCTTTTATAATCCTTGATATTCCTTCTGATAGCTTTGTTTACCTCTTTGTAATCTACTGTGTTTCTCTTATCTTGTTCCAGTAATGTTTTTCTTTTACTCATAAGATTTTTTGTTTCCTGGGATACATAGTTTTCCTTTTTTATTCTTGTTTGTGCTACCTCTTTTCCCGCCTTTGCTAATGTATCGGTTAATATCTGATTTATTTCATCGATATTTTTGTTTTCCAAATCTCTAGTGACCGGTATACCTTCTTTTATTTTTTGTTTATATTCGTCTTTTGATTGCTTAAGTTTTTCCATATCTAGTTTCGATATATTTTCTATTTTCTTTTTTGTTTCGAGTTGGCTATTAATCCTGAGTTTGGCTCTGACCAGTCTATGATCGCTACCGGTTGAGAAGCGGTTCAGTACTGTAACATCTTTGATGATGGTTTTTTCTGTTGTAAGGATGTAATCTATTTCGTTTTTTGTATTACCGTTGGGACTTATCCATGTCCATTTTCTTTGTGGTTTTTTGTTAAAAAATGAGTTCATAGCAAAAAGTTGTCTCTCCTCCAAGTAGTTCATTAATGTGTGTCCTCTATTATTTCTTTCGCCATATCCATACTTTCCAATTCTATGTTCTTCTCCATCTATTCTTCCCCCTAATTTGGCATTGAAGTCTCCAATTATTAGCGTCAATTTAGTTTTCTTTTCTTCCATAGCGAGTGTTAGTTCTTCGTAGAAGTTTTCAATATCTTATATATATCTATAAATATCTTATATATCTATAAATATATAACCACCATAAATAGACTACGCTTTGGACATGCGTGTTATCCAACTCATTTATATAAAATAAATGTGATTGAAGATGATAATTGCAAACATTGCGGAAAACTGGGTGATCTTGATCACATCTTTTTTGAATGCCCTAAGTTTCAACAGCATTCAAACACTCTCTACAAAAAATTAATCGAATTTAATATGTATGCACCATTCAATATTCAGTCGCTACTGGCGACAGGCTCACAAAATATATATAATATCATTATAGATTTCTTGTCAGACACATGCATGGTTCTATAGAATTTGTACTCGAGCATGAAATTTTTCATGATCGTGTGGAAATTTAGATTTGTATCCTTTGTTTACCCTAAATGTTATAACACCTTATCCGTGGTCCAGTTTTGTTTGTCTACTAAGAATGTCTTGATGGGCCCCTAGACGAGAAGCAACTGACCCTGTAACTTTCCTTGTCGTATATTCTTCTATTAATTATCCGTTAGTTTTCGATTAGGAATAGAGTTGTACATTTGTCTGATAGGAGAATTTATTGCAACTGGCTGAATGACTATTTCAATGCCATTAAAAAAAAAACTTACAACCAAGTACGGGTTGGTTTCATTTTTATACTACAGAATTCTTGTAATCTTTTGGTATTTTTTGAATTCAATTTTAATTAAGTTTGTTTTATTTGCTATAATTGCTATCCAATTTTAAATTTACTGTACCCGTTATCCCGAGGTAAGCCCATAAACAGCGAAGAGAGATTTCTTTAATCAGCTTTACTTGAATTTTTTTAAATACTACCAGACTATCTTCGCTGATAATTTAATTTTGCATGATTTTATTATATTGTATCTGGAAAGGTATTTCTTGATCATAATACTGTTTATTTCCATCTGTATACAGCCATTTATTAATTCGTGGTGCATTTTTTCTACTTGTGTTTACATTCAGCCGCCTATTTAATTGTGTTGTTGAATATATTGTTTTGTTTTATCCATGAATTTTATTTCTCGACTCCGAAGTTTCCAGATAAAATATTACCTCTGAATATTTGCTTATTACATTAAATTATTATTAAACCTTCTACCAGGAGAAAGATCAGGCTGATTAAGTTTCGTAGGTAAGTAGATGGACGGAGTCCACCTAATATATTTATTATTTGGTTATGTGGTGTGTTGACAAAAAATATTTAATAATTAACTGTTGATATCTTTCCTCGGATTAGGTCTCAGAACCTAAATAGCTTTCCTTATCTCTTTTCGTTTCTTAGTTTTCCCGTTGAACTCTAAAAAGTTAAGTGGTGCCCTTTTTCTATCTTATCTTTGGTACTTTTACCCTTCTATCTTTTTGTTTATTTCTGTATCTTTTCTAATATATCTTATCCTGTCCTATCTTTACTTATTTCGCCCGTTGGACCCATTCCCGGTTCCAAAAGCTACTTTCGAACCCACGACTCGCTCTCCACGAACCATCTGGCTGTCGTCCGCAGTGTCTCCATGATTGACCTTTCTAGTACCATCCAAAAAAGGTTTCCGAGGTTACAGTAATACAAAGTGACGTCTGCGTGCGATACACCCGCTTGATTGGGGGTTTCGTAAATGCCATCATACACAAAAGAGCTTTTGAATTTATGCATAATATATTTTTTAAACTACTCCAGACTTTGGTTGAGTTCTCCAAATTTTACTATGGTTTTTGGTAATATTTTTAAATTTTTTAGTAAACTGCGCTTTGTGCGGCACTATGAGTAGGTTTTCTTCTCACTTTTTTTTAGGCGAGCGGTTTACCCCTATAAGTGTTCTCGGACGCGACTAGTTCACGTTCGAGACGCATCGCCTCGCCCCTTATTTTTCTCGTTGGCCCCTCCCTGACCTGAAAATCCCTAATCGCTACTTCAGAAAGTATAAAATTAGGCGATTTTCAGGTCAATCAGTTCAGTCCTTCACGGGCACTCCGAGAGCTTAGTGCTCTCGGGGCTCTGCTTCCTTTTTAGCTTTCCATACTCTATGGCTGAGTATTATTTCTACTGTATTTTTGGTGTTTTATTTCGACCTATATATATTTGGTCATGTAAGAAATAACTTGCCTTTTTCAAGGCAAGACATCGAAGACAACAAACCTGATGTTTATTTCGACAACTATCATGTAAGATATTTGTCATGTAAGAAATCTCTCGTCTTTATTAAGACGAGCCATCAGGAAACAAAACATTTTGAAGTCCATACCCTGAAAATGGACAAAAGTAGAGGAGCTCACGATGTTTTCGAAGCCCCTCTACAGAGCACACGGTGGTACAGAAGGTGGCAAGACCCTTTCCATTTACCCCGAGGTGACATAAGCAGAGCATCAACCGACTAAAATTCTTTTTGCATTTCTAATGCACCAAACCTTTTTTACTCGATTCTATATATTTTTCCAAGATGAAATGTATTTTTTTTTAATTTTTGCAAGTGGACCGGCAATTGTTATTAACAAATAACTTATACAAAAAATCAATTTCACCGAATTGTTTCAGAATCAATTTTTTTAGGTGTATCTCATCAAAATAAACACTTTTCTTTCCTGATAATTTTTCGAAAAATGCTTCCTTTTCGAGTTATTTGCATTTTTTTGTTGAAAAAATGCCTTAATTAGTGATTTTTGGGATTTTTTTTCTAAAAAACTACTAAATAAATTGCAATTTTACAAATAGCTTTATAATCTTTAAACCGTCGAGTACAAGTTAGAATATTTTGACAAGGATAAGTGGTTTCTATCTCGCTAAAACGTGGACCCAAATATTTCGAATATGCCCTTCGAGAGTATCCCGCTAAGTGTGTACAGCGGTTGAGGTTATTGACAATGAAAACGATGTATAGTTAATATTATATTTTTATTTTATTATATTTTTCAATGAAAATTAATTATATATTGCTTAATGTATTTCACTGTAATAAAACATTCAATAATATAGTCACCACGTATATTAAAAGAAAAATTACATTATTATAGCATTGTAAAAAATTAATTTTAATTGTTTTAATTACAATATGACTATACAAAAATAATTAGAAATATCTTTTTTTTAATAAATTGTACGTAATATTTGTATTGAATTAATTTTTTATTAACTCAATAATAAAAAAATAAATTCAAACAAATAGGTATTTCTACGCGCCGCACGCCTGTATCGTCGCAACCGCTGTACACACTTAGCGGTAGACTGCACGAAAGGCAAGGTCCACGTTTTTAGCAAGATAGAAAAAAATTATCCTTGTCAAAATTTTCTAACTTGTTAGTAGTTTTTTAGAAAAAAAAAATCCCAAAAATCACTAATTAAGGCATTTTTTCAACAAAAAATGCAAATAACTCGAAAAGGAAGCATTTTTTGAAAAATTATCAAGAGAGAAAAAGTGTTTATTTTGATGAAATGCACCTAAAAAATTGATTCTGAAGCAATTCGGTGAAATTGCTTTTTTGTATAAGTTATTTGTAAATAACAATTGCCGGCCCACTTGTAAAAATTTTACAAAATACATTTCATCTTTGAAAAATATATAGAATCGAATAAAAAAGGTTTGGTGCATTAGAAATGCAAAAAGAATTTTAGTCGGTATATTCTGTTTCTAAGCGTCTTTTGAGGGGTAAACCGCTCGCCTATTTATTCAAAGTTAAAAACTTAAATACGTTTACTAAGTTCAAATGATACATTACTTTGCTTTTTCTGTTAGATAGATACTTAAATATTATCGTATTATCTGTATTCTATATTAAAAAAAAAATAATCGTATATAATGTATAACATGTTAAAATAATCATATATACTCTTTTTCAGTGGTTCAGTTCCTTTGAAATGTACAAAAGATGAAATAATTATAAAGTATTCATATTAAAAAATGGGTACAGAAGATATAAATACCGACACTACGGATTCGAGGAATTCGAAAGATGCCTTCTTCGATCCAAAGCCTAAACCTAAAATGATAAGAGTGTTGACAGTATTGGCATATGTTTTAAGTGTTTCAATGGCTGCTATATTTTTATCGATTTATTACATATTTATGTGGAATGGAGAGCCACATTTAGGGGCTCACAAAAGTGAATCTCTTAACTATAGTAGGTAAGCATGTTTAAATTTACAATACCATTATCAAAAATAAAGCGATCATTAAAATAATTTAAAAAAAAAACGATAATTTTAAAAGACAGATGAAATGAAAAAAGTACTTGTCACGCTACACTGATTTAAAAGTCCAATTGTACAATTAACATCAAATGTAACATCAAATTAGATTTTTACTGTAATTATGTTATATTATATTCGCTTCAAAAACAAAGTTAATTCAAATCTTCAACACAACTTTAAGGATATACTTTAGATACGTTCTACGACTTCAAATTGATATTTTGATATATTACAATAAAGTTTGCTGCTTCCATTGTAAAAATTCGAAAATAAATAATTTTTATTATAAATCTTCTACTTCTTATGTGTTCTCCATCTTTATTCTTAACCGACAAGGAGATTAATTACCATCGAAACCATCAAGTTAACTGTTGATGAAAAGAAAGACGAAAGAAACAACCATTCAAGAGTTAACTTGATGATTTCACATATAGTGCGTCTGTGTATCCGCTTATACGTATTTTACCCTAAAAGGGATCTTTGTAGCGACATCTGATAAATAAATCCGTAAACTAATTTCAGATTTCTGCTTTAATCTGTGCCTTCTAAGAATTGCAAGGCAAAACAGACTTTATTAGAGACATGGGGAATCTAAAATTTCATTCCACAACATATCTCCACAACTAAGCAAAAATCCTCATCAACTCACCAACCCGCCTGGCAGCGTGGTGTTTAAATGCCAAAACCCCCTCAGCATGAACAGACATTCAAGAAACCCTCAGTCCCCGGCAGCTCGCTAGTTCCCGACCAAGGTAGCGGTAGGACTCATAGATATTATAGGAATTAGCGAAGTCAAAAGAAGAGATGAAGATCAGGTCAAACTAAAATCAGGAAACATATTCCACTATAAAGGGGAAACGGAATCGACAACTGGAGGAATAGGTTTATTAGTACACAAAAAATTACAGAAAAATATACAGAGCATTGACTGCATTTCCCCAAGAATTATGTTTATAAATCTAAGACTAAATAAGAGATACAATCTGAAAATAATCCAGGTATACACCCCCACCAGCGATTACGAAGATGAAATTGTTGAAGCCTTCTATGAGAAAATCGAAAGAGCAAAAAAGCAGGAACCGGCTCATTAAAATCTGATAATAGGAGATTTTAGCGGGAAACTTTGAAGGAAAAAGGACGAACAAGAAGTGGCAATTGGAGATTTTGGAATCAGAGTAAGAAACGAAAGAGGCGAAATGCTTACCAACTTTCTACTGCAACACAAACTGTTTACAATGAACACCTTTTTAAAGAAGAAACAGAATAGAAAATGGACGTGGGCTAGTCCAGACGGAAGAACTAAGAGCGAATATGATTATATAATAACAGACAAAAAGCAAATTATTCAAGATGTCACTGTACTCAATAAACTATCAGTAGGAAGCGACCACAGACCAGTAAGAGCTAGAGTAACGATAAATCTACAAAATGAAAGAGCAAATATGGTAAACAGTTGCAAACGCATAGTTTGGAATTCACCAAATCATCCAGAAGCATACATAAAAGATAAAAACAGATAAACAAAACATTCTGAAAATAATTAGAGAGTTTTATAAAGACCTCTATACCAGTCAAAGACCACAAGACAATTTCCCGATACGAGTAAAGACTCTCATAAATCAGGGATCGGAAATACTTTTACCCATTACTGTGTCAGAAGTAAGAGCAGCTTTAAAGGAAATGAAGAACCATCGATCGCGTGGTGATTATGGACTCGTTATCGAGGCAATAAAAGCAGGAGGAGAAATTTTATTAAAATTTAATTAAAAATGCTTTGTAATAGGTATATATTTACGGCCCAAACGGGCTAAGTTAAAAAGACAAAACGTTTTCGGAAACCATGTTCCATCATCAGTGTCCTAGAAAATAGTTAACCACTTAATTAAAAAGAATATAGGTTAAAATTTTGACTAAGGTTAATGAAAAATGTGGTTAATACTTACTAGGAGTACATGAATGTAGCCACCAAGAGTAAATATATGGGTAAAAACCCGTTAACAGATGTTTAATTACATTTAGTTTTAAAAATATGTTATAATTATTTAAGATTATAGAGTTACCGATGGATTAGGTAACATGGCGACATATGACTCCACGTTGAAGTTGCTAGTCCTGAGACGGTATGTCTTCGAGGACTGTATGAGTGCAACTGATTGGCAATGATATTTGATGACAATATTGTTATGACGAAAATTATCATAGAGCATTCAATGTAGCTGTATGTTTCTACTTAAGACATACCTATTAAGGAATATACCTATTACAAAGGATTTTTAATTAAATTTTTAATACATGGTATACAGCCAACTACAGGAACGTAGATTCCTTGTGGATTTTTATTAAAATTAGTAAGCGAACTGTTTAATAAATGCTTACATGCGCGTACGATTCCAAAAGACTGGAACAATGCAGTAATAGTCTTGTTACACAAAAAAGGCGATATTACTAAATTAGAAAATTATAGACCCATCAGCCTCTTGACACATATGTACAAACTCTTTATGAAAATCTTAACAAAGAGGCTAACACCTAAACTTGATTTCTATCAGCCCAAAGAACAGGCCGGCTTCAGGGCAGGATATGGCATAAATGACCATTTGCATACCATAAAGATCTTAATAGAAAAGTGTATCGAGTACAACATACCACTGGTTCTGCATTTGTCGATTACGAGAAGGCTTTTGATTCTGTAGAGTTTGAAACAATACTGGAAGCACTAAGTCAAGGCCTAATAGATTACAGGTACACGACACTAATCAAAAACATCTACGAGAACGCTACATCAAGTATACGACTACATGAAGACACAGAAAGATTTAGCTTAGGTCGAAGAGTTAGACAAGGAGACAATATTTCACCAAAATTGTTCACGGCAGCTCTAGAGTAAATATTTAAGAGCACTCAATGGCAAGATATGGGCATCAATATAGATGGAGAAAGATTAAATCACTTAAGATTTGCAGATGATGTTGTATACAGTTTCTATGATGCATTCGCTTAAAAGTCTGGAAATATAACTATTGACAATAATACCATACAACAAACAGACACTTACAAATATCTGGGGCACGAAATCAAAATAAGCAGAGACAATCAAACACATGAAATACAGAGGCTAATAGGCCTAACTTGGGCAGCATTTGGCAAATTAAGTCATATTCTAAAAAGTTCAATTTCCATGTGTCTCAAGCGAAAGGTTTATAACCAATGTGTTTTACCTGTACAAACTTATGGAGCAGAGACTTTAACACTCACGCAAAAATCTGCGACTAAACTCAGAGTTACACAACGAGCCATGGAACGTGTAATGCTGAACGTGAGCCTTCGAGACCACATAACAAACCAACAAATTAGGCAAAGATCAGGAGTTTAAGACGTCATCGAAATAACCATGTCGCTTAAGTGGAACTGGGCAGGGCACTTAGCCAGAGCACAAGATGGTATTATGGAATGGAGGCCCAGAAACTATAAAAGAAGCAGAGGACGACCACCGACTAGATGGACCGATGATATAAAACGTGTAGCGGGAAACTGGCTACAAGCGGCCCAGTGTAGAGAACACTGAAAAGAACTGAGGGAGGCCTATGTCCAGCAGTGGACGCGATTGGCTGATTGATGAAGATGAAGCAAAAATCCTTAGCGAATTGGTTTCTCGACTCATAAAGAGTTTCATAAAGCAGAAATCTGAATTTGGTTTCTAAAATTAGTTTACGGATTTATTTATCAGATATCGCTATTGCGTCCACATTGAAGCCATTTTAGTGTTGCTTCTATTATGACACGAAAGATGACACGCGTGAAATACAATACGTATAAGCGGATACACAGACGCACTATACGTGACATCAAATCTTAACTGTCTTTCCTGTTATTCCAATATACTCTTTATGAGTACGAGAAACCAATTCGCTAAAGATTTTTGCTTAGTTGAGGAGATATGTTGTGGAATGCAATTTTAGATTCCCTATGTCTCTAATTACATCTTCATAAACGTCTGTGTTGCCTTGCAATTCTTAGATGGCACAGATTAAAGCAGAAATCTAAATTTGGTTTCGAAAATTAGTTTACGGAATTATAAAACTTAACTATATTAACGATTATAAAATCACACTGTCAGTATTTTTGGGATTCTGTTGTGGTGTATGGCTTTCATGTTAGAAAGTATTCTGTTCCTTTACACCATTTTTTTTATACTTCTGTTCTTTGAAAATTTTGTATAAAAACTGACTTAGTTCTGTTTTTTCTTAAACGTTTAATTTCGTGGTTCGTGAGCTAAACTTATACTTCACTTTCATCTTTTTAAAGCTTCTCATATTTGTATGTCATTCTTAGCAATTTTCGCTATGGATGTAAGCTCATTTATTTGATTTAAGATTCACTCACTGAAATGACGTATGTTTTTCTTTTCCAAATTGAAACCGATAACCCTTCAACATGAATCCTTGTGAACTACTTCTTCTTCTTCTTCTTTTTTATATAGACATGACTATCTGTTTTTCAATGTGCCTCCAGTAAGTTGTCATTCCATCGTTTTCGTGGTCTTCCTACTGATCATCTGTCTATTGGGGAACCGTCTCTTGCCGTCTTTACTACTCTATTTGTTGTCATTCATCTTATATGATCGTTCCATTCTAGTCTTCTATTTATTACCCAGTTTTTGATGTTCTCCAGCTTGCATCTATGTCGTATATCTGTACTTCTAGCTCTGACCCATAGTGTCTTACCATCAATTTTTCCAAGTGTTTTCATCTCTACTGTTTTTAACATTCTTTTTGTCCTCTCTGTGTTAGGTCTTGTTTCTGCCGCGTATGTCATTATTGGTCTGATGACTGTTTTGTAAATTCTGCCTTTCGTTTCTTTCCCGATATTTTTATTTTTCCATATTGTTTAATTTTGGCAGACTGCGGCTTTGTTTGCTCTATTCACTTGATCTTCCACTTCGGTTTCGAGCTACACATGCATGCTTGTGAACTACATATTGTATCAAAATTATATATATATATATATATATATATATATATATATATATAATTTTGATATAAAATATATAAAATAGAGGTAGATAGCAAATCAAAGGACGTCTAATGTTTCAATCTGATATGGTGGTAATAGTAGCGTTTTATGTGTTACAACTTTTAAATTAAATATGACTCTTATCAAAAATATCACTTGATAATAAGTAATGAATGTGCTTTATTTTTTTAGCTTAGGGGAGAGTGACAATGGACTGAATGCTTCTTTACATATAGATACTGTACCACAAGCGCTAGAACGGAAAGCAGTAGCAGAAATTGTAGACGATAATAGAAAAATAAATTTAACTGACTTTAATATTAAAGAAGATTTAAACAATGAATCTAGTACTATAACGAATACATTGACAGATAGAGGTAAGGCTTCTTTATTATATTTGTTTTAATTTTTTGCGCAGAAAATTATTATTTTTCATATTATGATAATATGTTGAAGTAAAATTTTATATCTGTTGTTTAGTGTGTAACACATCAAACGATGAAAAGAGTTTGAAGCACACAAAATAAACAAGGCCGCGTTGCTCAGAGTCGGAGGTGATGTCGGGGTGGTTCTTGAGATATTTTCGCTAGTACACAAAGTAAAATAAAATTAGATAGAAGAAAAGAAAACAAATGTAAGATGATAGCTACTAGAGCTAAACCAGAAATATTAAATAAATAAAACGCAGAAAACTAATAATAAACAAAATTGCCAAAGTGCGTTACCAAATTCTTTCTTTATAGCTTCTAAGAATTGGAAAAAACAAAACGGGATATAAAAAAGATAAAATTGTTAAATATATATATAGTCAAAAATACGTATCAATATTATATATCAATGTAAGAAGTATGAAAATAAAAAGATGTAATGTGCAAACAATAACTTTATTATTAATCTTACAAAAACTGCATTATTTGGAAGACGCATTATAAAAACAATATGCAATACAAACAGATTTCCTAAATATTCATCATTTGGACTAACGCAAGAAAGACGTTATGAACAGAAAAATATATTATTATTATTTATTTATTTACTTATTTTTCAGTATTTGATATTACTACCCCTACTCCTAATTACACTTTCCAATCGATTTCGCATGGATCGGATGACTTATAATAAATAAATTTTTATAATCTAATAAATTTTTCAGACATTGCTTCCCATAAATCATTAAGCGCAACTCTTAAGTCCATTATGCTTCTTGGGGCATGATTTCTGTCCCGAACCCTTCTTTTCAGCTCATGCCAAACATCCCCTCAGGATTTATGTCCGGCTCAACGCAGGCCAAATTATTGTAGGTATACCGATTCCAGTCAGATAAGTGGTGGTGACTCGTGCGGTATGGCACTGTGCATTATTCTGCATTAAAATAGAGGCATCACCATAAATCCCGCGTATTTAACCACATGTTCCTCCAAAATGTCTCTAATGTAACGATCCGTCGTTAAATCTCCTCCACGTCCTCCACCAGGCACGAAAACCAACTCGGTTTTCCCATCCATGAAAATGCCTGCCCAAAACATACAAGAATTTTAGATGGTTCTTTTTTTGCCACTAACCAAAAAGAAACACTTTTGCATATTTTAAAAATGTTAAAAATATAATAAAATGTTTCTAAATAATTAACATGTAACTTTTGCATTTAAAAAATAAATATTCAAACTAATAAATAAAGTTTAGTACATATTATTATGTTTGAAATAGCAAAGTAAATAAATTGTGAAGGGTAAAACCAGCTAAGGAGTATTGTTTAATTTTAAAAACCTTTTTCTTAAGGCTGTTAGTCTCTGGATAATAATAGATATAATATAGAAACCAATGTGTTGTACCGGTTCTAATATATGGTGCAGAAACACTAACTCTGACAAAAAAACCATAAATAAAATAAAAGTTATACAACACGCTATGACAAGATCAATGTTAGGTATTATTATCAGAGATAAAGTATAAAACCTAGAAATAAGAAGAAGAACAGGAGTCACGGATGCAGTTGAAAGAATAGCCATGGCTAAATGAGCTTATGCCGGATATGTTGCCAGATTGACGAAGGATAGATGGAGTAGAAAAATTCTGAAATGACAACCAAGACAAGAGGTACATCGAAACGACGATCACGCAGTAGAAAACTGAATAGACGAATGACGTAAAGTTCATAACCACAAATTGGATGCAAGAATCTTAAGGTAGAAATAGGTGCAAAATTTTACAGGAGGCTTACATTTAGCAGACTAATATAGACTAATTGATGATGATGAATTGATGATAGGAAGCAATATAACTAATCGTTACGTGTTCCAAAAGAGGTGATTAATCGTTGTGCAAAAAGGGTTCGAAAATGCCTTAGAATATATCCCACTTCTACCAGAAGGGACGTGTCAACGATGGCAAACAAGCAGTTCAATATTTAAAGATGTCAATTTTTTCTTCTAATAGATATTTCGCAAATAGTACGACAAATAATTCACTCTGTGTCAGAGATAGAAAGACGCTATTTTTCAAAAACAGTGTTTCTTGTCCAGCTGAATAAAGTCAAATGCCGGATGATCATATGATTAGATCTGATCAATAAAAAAAATTCTATAAAACGCAGTTTAAAAAACAACGAGTACTTATAGTGATTTGATTTAAAGAGAAAGCGTTTAACTCAAGGTCATTTAAAAATAAACACGAAAGTATTTTCTTCGAAGAGTTGTACTACGTAGATTAAAACCTTATGCAGGATGGAATTTGAAATATGTAAATTAAAACTTTATAGATTTTTTGGACCGTCATATACCCGTTTATTAGGCATAAACGCCCATTCGGTAGGGATCTATGGAGGAGTATCACCAAGAGGCAAGCCCCCGTCTCTTGCCGTACTGCTCCTCCATAGGTAGATCAGACACCAGTGTAACCATGTAATTAGAAGTTTCTTCTATTGCTCTTGTAGGTTACATTTATTCATTGGAAATCTATTTACTTTTATAGCGACCATCAAATTTCAAAGCGAAATCTTAAGTATTATAAGTAATTATTAGCAATATGAACATCAATCCTTTTCACAGCAACAAAACAATTATTCGTATGGGGTAATTAGGATCTCGATAATAAACATGCCCTAACCATCTTATGGTCTGGACAATGTGAAAACGTCATACCAACAACAGAGATGAATGGCGAAAATTAGGAGAGGCCTATATTCGGGAATCCGAATAGAGAAAAGGGCTTAAAAACCATCTTATCCTATGCTCCTCATTTTAGCATCAACTGATGCCACCTCTACACTTTCCCTAATATCTCAATTCTTAATTTTATCTCCTCCATCTTTTTCCCGATTACTCTGTATAACTGACTAACTTACTATTGTTCTGAAGCTATTTTCTTGTGGCATTGTAAATTAATTACTATTTATAACTGGGAATAAGCCACAATTAAAGATAAAAATACGTTTATTGACGTATTTTTATTTTTATTTTTTTATCAACAAAAAACAAAATTTGTTTAATTTACTGTTTGTATTTTGAGAACGATTTCCGAATTGGAAATTGAAACGTCAATAAACGTATTTTTTATCTTTAATTGTGGCTTATTCCCAGTTATAAATAGTAATTGACTAACTTACTGACTGCATTGTTCTATTGAATTTAAGGAAAGGATCTTTATTAAAATATAGGGTTAAAGCACGTCATACTATTTAGTCCCTGTCTAGGATTTTGTAATCCTCTTCAGAGCTTGTGGTTTATGTGAGTGTTTTCTTACGTACAAAAGCCGGTTCTAGATAAGCGCGTTATGAATGAGCTAATAAACTTGATAGAAGAGGATCAGTCACAAAATACTTCAGTTTAAAGCCGGCTTTAAGAATGCCATAAATTAATGTCCAACACCAGAACAAACCTAAATCCGAACATAAAATTGATGTCATTGGGAAAATATAACCGACCAAGCATAAGATAAAATATATATTAGACGGACATGCGCGAATACAACTGAAGTACTACAAAAAATAATCAGAAATTAGCTTAGACTTATGGCTTCTTACTCAATATGGGTTTGTCAAGGGACACCTGTATAGAATGGGACTATTTCATGGAGACTTCTGCTTTAGACACTGTAGCAGAGTATCTGAAATAGCCAACCATATCTTGCATGATTGCGTATTTCGATTGCAGGCGGCAAACACTTTTGGAGATTACCAAGTAAAAAAAATTGTTAAAATCCTTTATAAAAGGTATATAAAAATGCCCCAAACGAGCTATCACAAACACATTGCAAAACGTTTTCGGATTAAACAATCCATCATCAGTGCAAACGGTTGTACATGCTAGTAGCCACCAAAATATATGGGTCAAAACCCTTTAAATGTTTTAAATTTGTAGTTGTTTTACATTATTAGTATTTATAATTTGTGATGTTTAAGTTACCGTTGGATAGGTAACATGGCGGCGTATGACTATACATGAGTAAATTGGTCCTGAGACGAAGTGTCTACGAGGACCTGTTGATCGTAGACACTTAATTATTATTAAATCGTGATGGCTAGCATATCATTTCTTCAATGGAATGCAAGGTCAATTAAAACAAATAAGGGTTATTTAGAAAAAATTTTATATGACAATAAAATAGATATAGGACTAATATCAGAAACATGGTTAAAGAAAAGTAGCTTTATTAACTTTACTGGTCATAATATCTTTAGGAATGATAGGGATGATCGATATGGTGTGGCCATATTATTGAAAAAAAAAATTAATTTTGATAATACTCCTACTTTTCATCCAATCAATGACGTAATGTGTAATAGCATATCAATAAAAATTAAAACCGTTAAAAAGATTAACATTTATTCTATTTATGTAAAACCAAATCTCAAAATTACGGTAAATGAATGGAAAAAGTTTTTTAATAGTATGGAGAAGCCTTTTATAATTGGTGGTGATTTTAATAGCCACAATTATGTTTGGGGTTGTAGTACTGTAGACACTATAGGAAAAAATCTGTTAGAAGCTATTGAGGACTGTAATCTCGTACTTTTAAATAACGGCAAAGAAACTTTGATGCGTAGACCTAATAGTATTAATAAATTGGCCATAGACCTTACAATATGCTCAGCAAATATTAGTCATTGTTTCGATTGGGATGTTGTGGACAATACTTTAGGATCAAATCATTTTGCTATTGTTATAAAGTCAAATATTAATGTTAATAAAGCGGAATGTGTAAACACAAAATTCCAATGGAATATAAATAAAGCGGACTGGTCTCTTTTCTCTTCTATCACTGATAATTTGAGGGAATGCGATAATAATTTAGATTACCAACAATTTTTAAATAAATTAAACGAATATTGTAAAATATGCATACCGGAGAAAAGAACAGGGACTAGTCCACGATTTAG